GGAAAAATTTCCTCTTCTGTTAAGTCACATCATTATTTTCACAAAATGTGGTGTTTGTATTCAATTATAACACTGAGGATTTTATCAATGTTTAAGCAGTCATAATATATGGTGTGTGTGTGTGTGTGTGCGTGTGTGTGTGTCCCTGTTCATCTGGTATACTGAGAATGTAAATCTTCAACATGATTTGCATCTTTATTTCTTGTAATTTGTTTACTACCTAATGCCAGACTACATGTAAATCAACTTCTATTCCTGTTCTTTATGTGTCAAACAGTCTTACCAAGTAGTTATTTAACATTTTGGTAACCTATTCCATCAAAAGATCTGATGTACAGACATTAATCTAATATTGTAGGTATTTAAAACCCTTTGTTTAGTAACTGTTTAGAATTGGGGATAGTCATGACATAATGGCTTAGTATAACATGGCCTTGCTTTAATGTGGGGTGTTGAAGACTAAAACCTAGGTAAGAAAGACAAAGCAGACTTTCTTCTATATGAAGGTTTGTGTGAAGATGACTATATAGACATTTTCCCTCATTTCTAAAGAAATCATATGTACAAACAAAGTCAGTTAAAACTCCAGTCCTGGAGCCATTCCAAACCTGATTGTCCTTTTCTTTCATAATCTCCATGCCCTTGGGCATGTTTCCTAATCACCTTTACTGCGGTTCATCCTTAAATATATAGATAATTCTATTCCTGACCTCATCCAAAAATGGTTGGTTTCAGGATGATTGGAGCCCTACTACCTTTCACCTCAAGAAGTCAGAGATGAACAGATTGCATATTCCAACTTCTTTTCTGAGCATGTAACCATAAAGATTAAAAAAAAAAGTAACAGAGATTATTCTCTTGGCTCTTGAAGCCAAGAAGCAAGAAGAGAGTAAGCTTCCAGAAGTTTCCTCTGTGAATAGAAGAGACTCTCCTATTTTCCAGTGTACTGGCAAATGTGGTCCCATTGATAATGATAGTTTAGGTTGAAAGATTTCAGTGTTAGTACAAGGAAAGACATAGCGGATTGGCCAAAAGAAGAAAAAGGAAATATGATAATTATGTGGTTAGGACTTGTCTGAATATTAACCAAAAAGTGGGTATAACCCACTTAGAATTGTTTTCTTCTAATTTAATTTAATCTACATTGAATATGTAAGAATGTACAAATTCCAAAATTTTCAGTATACCATCTATACTTTACATCAGAAACTTGGTAACTAGTTCAGAAATATGTGAAACATACCATAGAATGAATAAGCAGATGGCTAAATGAATGAGCCATATCTCATCAATATTATTAGGAATATCTGTGATTACACTTGGGACGGATTTCTGTCATTGTAAGGTAGCATGAAATACAAAATAACTAGAAAAGGCATTCTATCCACCAATTGTGCATGACTGTTACGTAAATAAAAGAGAGACCTCCTACTTGCTTAGACCTTGGAATTATAACTTAAGAGAAATGCAGAGAACATTGACAAATCCTAGAAACTTTTTTTAAGGAAATTCTATGATTTTGTAGTATCTGTACATGAAGTAAACATTACTTTCCACATGAATTTTAAAATAAGTGTTGTATATTGCCTTAAATTTAAAGGAAATGTCTTCATTTCTGCATGTAAAGAATGCTGAGAAGTGATGATATGCAGCGTGATATGCTATGGTGTGTGCAGAAGAAAATTCGGAGGTCTAGAATACAAGGGGACCTAGCTTTGTTCTTGTGAGCAATTAATCAACATTGAGAAATCAACCTCAATAAATGGAGTCCAGAACAGTTTAGAATAAGTAGAAGGTTTGCTCACCACATCTAATTTTGCATGTACATTATCCTGATTCTGTTTTGTCAAATAGTTTGACAGTACAAAAAACAATTGATTTGGCTGAAGACAATAGAGCTTGAGTCTATTAAATGCACTCAGCAGCTCTGGATCACAAAAATCCACCATTTAAAAACTGGACACTCATCTATTTTATGAGGTTAACATTAATATGAGTAATCATGTTTCACTTCATAAATCCTTGAGAAACATTTCAGTTACTTTTGAATATTATAACCTCTAAAATTTTTAAAAAGATGAAAGTGTTGAGATTGAGAATGCATTTAGAATCTTACTGAATCAGCAATATTGCTCCAAGTAATGTTCTCTAGTTCTTGAGTTTACTGAACTGCCGAGTACAGCACAGCTGGTGGTTTATTTTGGCTTTCTTGAGTTCTTTTCCTTGATTATGTGACATTCAGCTAATTATATGACAAAATATCTGACTCAACCACAGAGCAATTTACTGGCCACATGTGGACCGGGGTATTACTCTTTCTTTCCAGTGAGAAATTACACATACTCCTTCCCACGTACATGACAAGTGGACTCCAAGAGCTGGCACAGTGTATATTGTATGATTTGTCACTGTCTTTCTGTTTTCCATACCTCAGTTACCATAACTCACAAGACCTGATTCGGATTGCTCAAATCCCCTCTGCTCCATGTCCTATGTATATAAGCATGGATTTAATACCATTTGATATCCAGTTTCTCCTCCTTGTCATTAAACTCATTTATCATTGTTTAGTTGCATCAAATGTGTTTGTCTCCTAGATCGATCCTGTTCACCAAAAATATTTGATAAACTTCCTTTTGTTTCCAAAGTGAAAAGCACCCGAGTTTAGCCCTCAGCTCTAATTGATGAACATTTTGTCACTTCTTAGAAGATGAATGCCCAGACAAACATGTGTCGGAAATATATGTAATCAATCTTGAAAGAGTAGGTGTTGACAAACATGGCGTAAGACATAGGATGTTTAAGCATGAGGTGAGGAAAAACAACTAAAATATAATGTACTTAAGTAAGGTTCTTCTTAACAATATTCAACAGAATATAATTTTTATTCTCTTCAAGGGGGTTGCTCTAATTACTTTTATGTTATGGAGAAAGTAGAGTTTAGATACTGTTTTTCTACAGTGAGCACCATCTGAAAGCAATTGCTAAGCATTGCTGTGTAGCAGAAAAATATGTATGCTGTCATCTCCCCTGGCAGAAACATGCTAACTGTAATGTTAACAAGTGTTCTTGACATTTTACATCAAAAAGGAGAAGTGACTGCAATAATGATATTCAGAATACACCTCCTTATACAGTATCCAAATTCATGTTATAATAAGCTTGATTAAAATTTTAGATTTTTTTAACTTTTGTGTGCAGCACATTTTTTTAGAACTTCAAAAATACAAAATCTTAATCTCCTATGAAATTCACAATAGAATGTTCACTTTGGTATCTGTTCATGGGTAACAATTATTTTTCGGGGCAGTCCTTTTTCTAATATCATTATCAGGATGGAAATGAGCAATATCCAATCTCAAGTAGTGGTGAAAGCAAATACTCTGTCATACGATATAGTGGGTATAAAGATATATAAATTGAAAGATAATAATTAATCTATAATTTACAGATAATGTCTTGACATTAACATTTTTTCTCTTTTAATAGCTCACTGTAGAATTTTCCCAACAGTGTGAGATGAAAGAGATTTGTTCAATAGCTAAGTGTTATACAAGATCTGGGAAGAAATAAAATGTATTAATTAAGAGATATAAGAACAATATACAAGACAATGTTTTTAATAAAACACATGCTTAATTTTTAATTAAAACTTAGCTGTTGGAAAAATGTAATCAATGCAGTACAAATTATGAGAAAGAGAAATGTGAGATGCTTTCATAATGAAATCAAATCTGTAAAAATACTGAAAAAGAAAATCTATTAATGTTTCTTTCCCTTGAAAGGTTGATAAAAGGAAAGGAGGTGGGGGAGAGAAGTTCTACTTATGTGTATGTATGCATGTGGATGTGTGTGTGAGGGATATGTTTATATTTTGTGATGATTTAGATTGAATAAATTCAAATGAATTTTTTCTTAGTAAATTCATGTTTGTTAAAAATCTAGTTTTTCATTCATCATTTGATTTTAGCCTGCTTTTTTAAGCAGATTAAACATAGTGAGTTTTTAAAAGGCTATAGTTTACATCAAATATCCCAAAATTAATATGATGGAATCAAGAAAGCATCACAAATGATGCTTTCCAAAGTTGTCTTATAATACAAGAATAGAACCTAGTTACATGAATAAAATCAGGTCAGGCATTTTTCAAGACCTTTTGGCTCAGAACCACAAGTTCTTTCTCTTTCTAACTTGAACATTTCCTAGGGATGAAGAAGTCCTAACAGGGAAAGAAGGTACCTTTAAGGTGTCCTCAAAAGAAACCTAATGGAGGATACTTGACCTTACATCAAAGGGTTTTTTGTTTGTTTGTTTGTTTGTTGTTGTTGTTGTTATTTTGTTTTTACTTCAAATCCCAGAAAGACTTAATAAATATTATGTCTACATTTTTCTTTCTTTTCTTCCCCACTTGACCCACAGATGACAAATATGTTTGTGCAAAATTCTGTAAAGAATTGTACTATTCCCTTTAACTCAGAGCATACAGAAGTTGAATTCATTCAGTTATATATATGAAATTGTTGAAAAGATGTAAGCTTGCAAGCCGTACAAATTGAGATACCAAGTCCAATGTATTTTACGTACTTACACAAACAGCATATGGATTATATTGCCTACTGCATGTCAACAGAGCCATAGTGAATTTGTCATCATAAATTCACTTACTGTGAATTCTATCATATAGTTTAATGAAAATAACAGTAAAAATATTCTTAGACAACAGATTGAATAGAAGTGGCAATTTGAGACTTATAATGGTAGTGTGCATGCTTATTGGTAGCAATATTTTTGAAAATATGGTGACTCACTGAAAACATAATTTTACCAGGCAGATTATCTTTGGAATTTTTCCTTCACCTGTTGAAAAAAGAAGAGGAAAAGAAAAAAAAATAACAAAAAATAACATGCTTGTTCCTCATTCTTCTTTTCATGTATGTCATTTTATGAGTGAATGTTTCATATTTATTTGTCATTTGTCCATTATTTTTTTTCCTCTTCAGGTGTAACCTAGCTCCTGTGGTGGAGTTTGCTGCAGATGTGGGAACTAAATCAGATTTTATTACCATGAATCCATCAGTTGTGCAAAGAGCATTTGGAGGCTTTCGGAATGAGAGTGACAGAGAAAAATTTGTGCATAGACTTTCCATGCTGAATGACAGTGTCCTTTGGATTCCTGCTTTCATGGTCAAAGGAGGAGAGAAGCATGTGGAATGGGTTAATGCATTAATCCTTAAGAATAAACTGAAAGTGCGAACTGCCTATCCATCATTGAGACTTATTCACGCTGTCAGAGGGTAAGTTACTGGAAAGGACTAGTCTGTCCTTGGCACAATGGAACACATAACTAAACATTTTTGCTAGACAGGAAGGAGACTCAGTAAAATCTCCAAATTAATATATGTTTCCATTACTTTATAATGGTTACTCTGTTCACAATCATGAATTTTTGTTTGTGTACTTACTATTTTAACTCATCCTTTTCTCATAAAAGCAAGCTGTTGAACCTGACACTTATTTATGTCTGCTCATGAACAAACTACAGATTTTTATATTTTTCTGAGCTAGAGTAATAAGAATTCATAGTAAAATTGATGAGTTTAGGATAACAAAGCTACAACAGAAGTGCTAAATGACTAGTGGGTAATATCATCGAAACATAAATGTTAAACATATTTAAGGAGCAATTAAGTCCCATCTGTAGCCAAGAGGCCTACTACTGAGAGAAAAGACTGACTGAAATAATATGGCTTAACACTTCACCCCAAAGTCACAGATGCCAACATCATGAATTAAGTCAACATTTCCTTTTTATTATCATAGGCTTTTTATTCTCAAGGAAAAAGTATAAGAAATTATCTCTTTCTTAGAAGTGACAAGTGACCAGAAGGCCAAATTCAGTCATAAAACACATAAGCAGATAAGCAGTTATGTTTATTTACTGAATGTATGTATGCTGAGTTTCAGATACTGTCAGCACAAAAGTGAGGATCTCACTACTTAGATGCGTAGGCTTCATGGTAGAAACAGAGGTGTATACAACTCTAGCAGTAAAGGAAAGGGGTGAATTGTCCCTCTAGTGGGCTTAGCATTTTGAACTGAACTTTAAAAACAGCATAGCATTGTTGGGCAAAAATAGGAGAAATTGAAAGTGAGAGACAGAACCAAACAGAAGGAAATGTCATTGCCTCATTAGGGGAAACTGACACAAGACAATGATTACGTGCACAGTAAAGGTATGGAAAAATGGAGTCCATTGTGGAGAATTGGAATATGAAGTTGGAAAACTAAGTGGGAATATGGTTGGGCAGGGAATTAGTTTTACCCTGTATAAACACAGTATCAATTTGAGAAGGTACACTTGTGACTGCAGATTCTTTTAAGAGAAGTAAAACACTAAAAGTGCAAAGGCCAACTAGCCTTTTTGATTAATTTACTCATAGGTTAATGGAGATGTAGTACAGAAGCACTGAGCATGACAGGTTCAGGGGATCGATTAAATACAATAGATAGAATTCCTAAAACAGACAGTGTTCCAAGCCCAGAGTTAAAAATAACTTCCTTTATGTACTGTAATAGATGGGAGGCTAAGGTGTTTTGTTTTATTTGTTTTGGTATTGAGGTCCTTTCCTGCAAGGATTTTCCCTTTCCTGATTAAACCTGCAGATAATGTTTTGTATTGTATTATACTTCACACAGTTAAAGTCCATTCTTATAATTAGATCACAGTTATTCAGCATTCATATCTTTGTGTTTTAAAATTTCAACAAAATAAGATAGAATGTGTACATTTGGAGGACAAGTAACTGTCATTTTTTAAATTAAAATATTTTATATTTAAATTTTGACTCTAAATATTATATATTCTTATCAAAGAGCAACTTTACAAGTGCATGTATTAAGAACACTTTTTTGAGATGACAAAGTTGAGTATTATTTGGTTCTGAAAACAAACTTGGAGAAATTACTTTTCAATTTTAGAAACACACATTACAGAGATAGATGCATAAGTTTAAAAACAAATGCTATGAGTAAGTAAACCCCTAACCATGGAAAACAAAGTAAATACTTTGTTTAACAGTATGCTGAATTAATATTTTAGTTTGCTAGATCCTGTTTAATGTTTCACAATTCAAAAATAAAAATTTAAAAAAGCAATTAAACATGAAATCAGAGACATGGTTGAAATAGTGTACTTTCAATAAGGTAAGATCCAGGTAGAATTAATAATGATGAACAGTGGATTTATATAGGCTTTTACAGATGTTTTGTTTTTCTTTGCTTGGTTTTGCTTTTTTTGAGAAAGAGTCTATGTTTCCCAAGCTCCACTTGAACTCCTGTGCCTAAGCTGATCGAGTACCTGGTATACAGGCATATCCCACCACACCTGGCTTAGACATTTTGAACAGTAAAACTTGGGGATTCTTTGAGTGATTTTCCAATACTCTTCTTTTATGCTTTGTGTTATCTTCTTTTCTTCCATAATCATTTACATATAAAGTACAGTGCTGATCCTTTAGTGTTGTATCCTAGATAAAAATAGTGTCAGACTCTGACTACTGGTGAAGTTAATGGCATGCTTTGTTTTGATAACTTTGTTTAGTTTTTTTGAACAGACCTTCTTCTTCTTCTTCTTCTTCTTCTTCTTCTTCTTCTTCTTCTTCTTCTTCTCCTCCTCCTCCTCCTCCTCCTCCTCCTCATTATTATTATTATTATTATTATTATTATTATCTTTAATGTGGTTTTGGGGATCAAACTCAGTGCCTCATGTGTGCTAGGCAAGCACTTTACCACTGAGCCACAACCCCACCTCTGACCAGTCTTATTCTGAATTCTCCAGAAAAAAAGACATTTGTAGGTAAATGGATGGAGATATAGAAGATAATGCTAAGTGAAGTTAGCCAATCCCCAAAAAACAAATGCCAAATATTTTCTTTGATATGAGGAGACTGATTCATAGTGGAATAAAGAGAGGGAATATGGGAGGAATAGATGAACTCTAGATAGGGCAGAGGTGTTGCAGGGGAAGGGAGGGGCATGGAGTCATAAATGATGATGGAATGTGATGCTTATTATTCAAATTACATGTATGAAGACACGAATTGGTGTGAATATACTTTGTATACAACCAGAGATATGAAAAATTGTGCTCTATATGTGTAATAAGAATTATAATGCATTCCACTGTCATATATAAATAAAAAAAGAACTCATTCAACTACTTTCTTCCTCTTATATCTGCATACCCTTCCTTAAAGTGAAGGAATAGAGTTCTGAAGGATAGCCTAATGTTTAAAAGTAGCTCCATAGTGGCCTATCCCTTTTCAAATGAGATAGAATTAAATACATATGTGCGTGTGAGAGGCTATTTTATTTATGAAATTATTGAAACTGATACATTTATGCATACGAGGTAGTATTTCAATGTAATATGTGTATGCTACAAAGCTATTAGAACTCTAAAAAATCATAGGACGTGTGAACACCAATGAAAAAGAAAATTTAGATTAAATGAAAGCAAGAGCGAACTCCCATTAGACTGTTTTTTTAAAGTATTTGTTTCATATCTCTTGATTTACACTCTGAAGCCTTGTGGTTAATACTGTTAAGAAAAAGTTTCATATCCTCTGTTGATTATTGGGAGTTTTTTTTTATTCTCATGAAAGGTTAGAATACCAACTCACGCATTTCAGGGTGGGCATGATGACAGTGCTTGAATGTCAAGACCTTTCCAAGTACTGCAACTGCAAGTGGAAAGTTTAGGTGATAATGAACATCAAGATTCCCAAACACAACAAGGATCATTTAGGTTATTGTCACATGGTCCAGTTTCATTATTTCAACTTTTTCCTCTGAAAATTGTAAATGCTTACTAACTTTAAACACTCATTTTTTTTAAAGCTCTAAAAATGAAACCATAAAGTCTAATGGCATTATTGGATTAAGATTAAATGTATAATTCTTTGAAAGTCATATTAAGGGAAACAAGAGGAAAACTATATAGAAAATTTGTGATTTAAGAACAGTCTTGCAAAATAGTGAAAGTTTAATTTAATGGACACAAATAAAATATATATTCACGAGTTTAAGAGAATACATTAAATCCATGATGGATTGGAACCTTTTTGTAGAATCTTCTTTGAAAGCCCCCTGTGGTCTATGGTTTTTAAAGCATTTTGTGAAGAATGAATAATTACAAGATTTAAGAATACAGAGGGCACTTTGAAACTTCAGAATTACTCTTACATGCAACAAAAAAGAATATGTTGTACATTTATAATAAAATAATCAATGTACAACTCAAAATCTCCTTTAAAAAACTTTTAACCGGGGGGCTGCAGATGTAGCTCAGTAGTAAGCCTTGAGTTCAATTCCCAGCATCACAAACAAAACAAAACAACAATTTTTTTACATAGAAACAGTTTTATATGATGTTAAATTACTATTGAAAACATACTTCAAGTCAAAATTTATTTTAAAAAAACATTTCATTATGAAAACTCATTATATTTTTGTAATTCCTATATTTTATTTATAATATCCAAATAGTTATGAGTTTTTAATGTGGAATTATTATTCTTTGTTTTCTAGTTTGCAACATCTTAAAACAAAACACAAAAGCAAGCATTACACAAAGTGGAGCCTCAATTGTACTACCAAACTATCAGAATTAATTTCTTAAGGATTTTTTAGCAGTTAGATGGATAGACTGATAAGAATATTTTAAATTTCTATATTTATAAAAGTAAACATGTAGTTATGCTAGTAGTTCCACAACTATATTCATATGTACTCTTCCTTACTTTGTTTATATAAATTCATTTGTTGTTTTCTCAACACTTAAAGATATAGCCCAATCTTCACAATGGAAAGTTTACCCCATTGCTTACTTTTCTGTATTTAACCAGCCAGTTTGATAAACTCTTATATTAAACCCTATTTTTTTTTTGGTTGTTGCTGTTTAGTATAATGCTATTTTATAGTAATGAACATTTAACTGGAAAGAGAGCTTAAATATACAATTGTGGTTTTATTAAATTTATACAATAACAGTATTTTTTAAAATATAAAATTCATGTATACTCATTATAATAACTCTAAACAAAAATATATATACACACATATATGTATATCTGTATACATATATGTGTGTATATATATAATATACATATTATATATATATATAATGTTATATGTTATAATTCCTTTTCAAATACAATTCCCTGAGCTAATGATAGTTAAGATTTGCACTATATTTTTCTATTCTTGTTGTCTGTGCTTATGTACACATATGCAT